TTCTTTCCTTCCTTCCATCCATCTTCTCTTCCATCTATCCATCCAGCCATCCAGCCATCCATCTTCTCATCCATCTACCCACTTACCCACCCACACATCTATCCATCTATCCGTTTTCTCTTCCATTCACCCATCCACCACACCCATCCAGCTTCTCTTTCAGCCATCCATCCACACATCTTCTCTTTCATCCATCCATCTATCCATCTTCTCATGCATCCATCCGTCTACCCACCCGCTCACCCACACATCTTCTCTTCCATCCATCCATCTAGCCATTCATTCACCCACCCACTCATCTCCAGGAGATCTCATGCACACTTACATCTTCCACAGATGATTCACCATCTCTGTACCCTCCCCTCCCTGGTCTAACAGATAACTCCAATAGGATGTCCTGCATGTCAAACTCAGTATGTTCTTAGTCATCGTCTTCTCTTTACCACACATATTCCCTTTCCGGTGCTCAGCGTCTCAGTAAACAGAACCATCGTCTGCCCATTTGTTTAGCAAGAAACTTGGGGAATCCCTGATTCCTCCCTTTCATCACCTTCACGCACCACCACGCCCTGGGGTTTACTTCCACACTAGCTCTGGGCTCCATCCTCTCTGTCTCTTGTCCTTCACGTACCCATCACTCCCTAGCTGGACAGCTCCCCTGGCCTCCTGACTGGCCCCCAGCTGCCACCTCACCTCTCCTCCCTTCCTTCACACTGACTTTTCATTATGAAATAATCTGGCCATATTGCTGGTGTAGGGGAATTGGCACTTCCTATGGGTGGGTGGGGGGAATTTACACAAGTGTCTTGGAGAGCAATTAAGCAAAATCTATAACATTTTAAATGCATAAACAATTTTTCCTTAGCACAATTCTACTTGAAGGAATTTGTCTTATCGATGTATACTGAAAACAACCTACATGTCCACCAGTAGGAACTTGTTAAATAAATTTTGGTACATCCATCATATAGAATGACATGTGTTCAATTAATAAAAAATGAAGTAGCGCTCTGTGTTCTGACATGGGAGAATGCTGACTATTGGTCGTTGGTTGTACTAAATGTTGGTCTTCTCTCTTGTTCTGGGATCCGCTGTGGAAACCACCTAATCTGAGGACAAAGGAAACGCAGAAACACACCCTGGAGGTTTAGAAAGTTGAGGGACCCTAACAGGGTTGGCAGGAGAAGACCTGGTTCTAGTTCCTGCTCAGGGTGAAACACTCTCCTGAACCTGTCTCCTGGTCTCTCTGAGGGGCTGACCACACCTCTCAAGGCCATTCTGAAGATCAAATGTAGCTATGGAGGCGAAACAGCATGCAAGTGTATCTTGCTAGACAAATGAGAGTTCCTCATATTCATTGAGCTTCAGGATTTACTTAGCCCACTTCTGAATGCTCAACATCTCTAACACATGTAACAAAAGCTACAGTTTTCGTTTATGTTTGAGCTCCTATTTTGTGCCTAGGATTGAGTTAAGCACTTTGAATATATGATATCATCGAAACCTCAAAACAATGCTTTTGTGGGAGGGATTTTTGCTTCCATTTCACAGATGTCAGCGGAAACATGCAGAGACTAACAGACCCCTCTAACAGCATACAGAAAGTGGAGCTACCCAGATAGGCCTCTGAATCTTTCTGACTGCCAAGTCCAAGCTTTTCTCATTTCTTAATCATCCCTACTTCTTAAATCATGTCTTTAGATCTGCGCTGTTGAAAAAAAAAGTATGAGTCACATGTGCAATTTAAAATTTTCTAATGGCCACGTTAAAAAAGAAACAAACAAAAAACACAACAACAACAAAAAAGAAACATAAGTTTTTTTTTTGAGTCAGAGTCTCACTCTGTCTCCCAGGTTGGAGTGCAGTGGCACACTCACTGCTCTACTACCCCATGTCATGTTTCTCCTGTAGCTCGTGAGATCACTGACTTCACAGGGTCATGACCATGAATTCCAGGTGCTCACTAAATGGTGGCCCATATTGTTACTTAAGGTTTAGACTCGTTCCAGGTCTGTCTCTGTTGGTACCACGTAAGTTGCATTCTCCAGTGGGTCACACATAGTTCGAGGATCTGAAATGGGGCTAGAGTGAATTGGGATACCCTGAAAACATAAAATATATACCTGATTTGGAAGACTTCGTATGCCAGAAGAAATATGAAAATGTTAGTAATTAGTTTTTATATTGATTACATGTCAAAATGAAGAGATTTTGGACACAACAGGTTAAACAGAATTAGTATTAACTTCATCTGACTGGGTGTGGTGGCTCACACCTGTAATTCCAGCACTTTGGGAGGTCAGGGTGGGAAGATACCTTGAGCCCAGGGACTCAAGACCAGCCTGGGCAACATAGCAAGACCTCGTCTTTATGAAAAAAAAAAAAGTTAGCTGGGCATGGTGACATGTGCCTGTAGTCCCAGCTGCTTGGAAGGCTGAGGCAGAAGGATCCCTTAGGCCCAGGAGGTTGAGGCTATGGTGGCCGTGAGTGTGCCACTGCACTTCAGCCTGGGCAATAGAGTGAGACTCTGACTTCAAGCAAACAAACAAACAAACAAACAAACAAAAACAAAACAAGTCTGAGATCACAAAGCTGAGGACTCAAGGGGCTGGAGTTGGAACCAAAGTACATCTAAACACCTGGCCTCTCCTGCCATTGCCAACGAATGCCAAATATTCCATCACAACATGCCAGTTACGTGTGTGTGTGTGTGTGTGTGTGTGTGTGTGTGTGTGTGAACACTAAGCTCCCAAGAAAGAAAAATCTAACTTGGGGCACTTAATTTGAAAGAACTTGATTAATCAACACACAAGATCATTTAAGCATTCGTTTAGAAGCATGCAACTAACTCTGAACTTCCTACCAGCATGAGTCCTTAAGGACTGGTAATAAACTAGACTCTTAATCCCCCCCTGCCAGTGAGATCTCTTTGTCTCAATGGGATGTGAGTTCCAGAGACTGATCAAGGTCAAGTTTCCACTCTGTGAGGGCGGCTACCTGGTGGAACACAAGTCTGGCTTCATTCTTTCATGAGATCACATCTCAGGTAGGTCAGAGGCTCCAGCTCTCTGCTGCCACTCAGGCCAAGTCTGGCCACTGATTTCAATTATAACATGTTGAGTACTGACTAGATTATTTCGGGAATGCAGGCGGTGGTGATGATTTGGAGACGAGTGCCAGGATGAGCCTGTACCAGTTCCAAGTCCGAGCAATGCATAATCTGGGACTACCAACATCCCTAACTCCTGGCTGGGATATACCAAGCGACGTCCAGCAAGCTTTTCAGTTCCACAGTGTGGCCACTAACTTAGAACGCAGGCTGCTCTCTCTTCAGTTCTGGCTTCTTGAGAAAGACCACAGCAACCTGGTCATCAGCTGGAGGCTGAAACCAGGGAAGAAAGGAGAATCTGATTTGCCTCTAAAATGTCTCAAATTCATCTTCATCTTTCCCTTATTTCCATGACCACACCACGGTCATCACTCACCAGGGCTGTCACAAGGATAGGGTCCTGCCTCCACACCTGTAGGCTGTCACTCCTCAGCTCAAAGGTGGCTTCTAGCCTTTCACGAGGG